ACAACCTCCAAATATACAGGCATTGTCAGGGTCGGACTGGAACCCGCAACCTCCTGCATAGCATTCGAGGTCGTTTAACATCTCGCCACCGCGACACCCCACTCAATTAATAGCCACAGCGACGTGTATACCGAATGTGGTGTGCCGGGCGCGCAAACGATGTCTGAGTCGCCGACTGGAACGGACCCGGCTGAGATCAATCCCTTTATCAAGACGCTGCCACAGGGTTTAAGCAGGACTGTACCACAGGCGTATATTGTTATTAACGTGTGTATATCACGATGGGAGTCAGCCGTGTACCAAAAATCGTGGAGCTTTACGGCTGAGCTGTGTGACGGCCGTGGCCTGAGAGCTCCCTCCGTGAGACTTCAAGCCACGTCGTCGGCGTGCTGTCATTACCCCCCCCCCCCCCACTCCGACGAGACGCTCTGGCGCTCGCAGCGACGTGACGGAGAGCGCCGTGGCGATGCGACCAGACGCACTCTCCCGACGTGATGCTGACGAGTTTGTTACAAAGACAATTGCAATAACCTCTTTTTATTGTTTTGGGGCTACAGTATTTGAGGGGGGAAATATTTAATAAACAAAAATATTGCTGTGGTTTTCCCACCTGATGATGGTTGCTTGTGTTGTAATCGAAACGTCGCGATTTTATTTATTTATTTATAACTACATGACTTTACCGAAAGAACCAAAGAGTATGGATTCCTGCAGTCACGAAAGCTTCAAATCGAGAATGAATTGATTGCTTGTTATAATTGATTGGCTGTTATACACGTTTCAAATCAGCTTTGGCGACTGATCGGAATGCCATAAGAGATTAATAGTTTAAAAGCAGGGGCTGACAGTAACGCCAGTAATAAGTGACTGCAGCTTGATGTCAAGGCTTATTTAAATACTTTATTTAATTTAAATATATTAAAATAAGGGGTGGGACGCTGGGCGCAGTAGTTAGCGCACTGCGCTCCCGAACTTTGCACGCATATACATATATGTTTGTACATGCATAACATAATGTGTGGGTATATGTGTACAACGATATGTGTATATGAATGTACATAAGGGTATGTGAGCATGCGTGAAAGGAGTTCTTGGTGCGATGTGTGAACGTGTATTAACATCGCCACTAGGGAGACAAAGGCGGCCGGGCGTGAGTGGTGCTGGCCACCCACCCACTCGTGTGCCGTGCCGGCCTTCGTAGGTGCTCGCTAACAGCACTTGCCCAAAGAATATGTCAAGGCTATACGGGGGTTCTTTGTTTTTTTTATATTTACAGCTGTATAAGTATACGAGTGTGTGTACGGGCACGTGTTTGTGAGTACGCGTAAGTGCACACGTGAGTCTGTGGATGACAAATGACATCTTCTGCATGTACTGAGTACATTGATGTAAGAGTTATGAATATTACATGTGAAATGCATGACGTGAAAGGTGTTTTGCATATTCAATATTTGTACTGTTATGATAAACAATTATACACGTTTAATACTAACGTTTAATGCCTTTATAATTGAGAATACATTTGCAATGTTTGAATGAATGAGCATTCTATTCTGTTGCATTTAGGATGCATATAGCCGCCTTTCCAGAGCATTATAACATAATTATCAAAATGTTAGCGGGCTTTTTTTTCCCGGATTATAAGACGCACACTTCGCCGCGTGCTCAAAAAGCAACAATCCGATACACTTAACAAATGATCGGGTGCTGCTGCTGCTGCTGAGGCTGGTGCAATACAAACTCAACACGCTGGCCAATTACGCCGTTAGCGCGACCTTCACTCAATAATGCGGCATGTATATTATAGACAAATGCGGTGGGAATGACTAGATCATCTGGAAACCAACTGCATTTACCACGGGGCCACACGTTTTGGATGCGTCTTATTTTCCGGAGCGTCTTACAATCCGAATCGCACCGTTTTATGACACTGTATATTGTCCAGGTGTCGTGAAACGTACAGGGTGCTTTGTTGTACGGCATTAACTCACACACGCGCTATCTTTCTCGCGTGGAGGGGGGGAGGTGTGGTTTAAATCGTGTCAACAGTAACGGTAAAACACGTGTGTTGTCGCTGGCTCGATGAACTCGGCCGACTGAGTTCAACTCCCGGTCACAGCTAATGCTGGCGTGGTGAGAATTACCTTGTGTCCATATGTGCTGTCGCCGAGTGCGTAATACCTGCATCATACATGCACGTCCCAATTAACATATGGGTCATACATGCTCGCTATCATTAACATATGCATTATACATACACACAGTAATTATCATATGGATCATACACATACGCCGATCAATAACACACGGACCATATGTGCACGATGAAATTGAAATATCTGTCATACACACACACGGTAATTAACACATGGATCATACATCCACGCCGTGATTAGCATATGGACAATACATGCATGTGATGCTTAACAAATGGGTCACACATGTATGTCTTAATTAACATTTGCATCATACATGCATGCGCAATTTAGCATGCAAATCATGCAGATATGTCGTTATTGGCATATGGCTAATACATTCATGTCGTGATTAACATATGGATCATACATGCACGTTGCAATTTGCATATGTCTTATACATGTATGCGATCATATAGATCAGACATATACACACATACACACGGTAATTAATATATGGATCATACATACGTTTATTAACATATGGATTATACATGCACACCTTAATTAACATATGTATCACACACACACACCCGGTCATTAGTATATGGATCATACACACGGCCATTAACATATGGATCATGCATGCACGCGGCCATTGACATATCGATTATACATACACATGGTAATTAACTAAGAAAACGGAACAAAAACTGTAAAAGGTGTGCCACATACGGCGGGAAAGAAGTTCAACGTGACATACACACAAACGAATCACGGAGAGACGAAAGCGTTACTCGCAATAGCAGGAGGGGGACACGGAGATGGGGAACACGTGGGCCAGGGAACGTTCGAAGATGAACGACGTCACTCAAAGTGCTCAGAAAGTCAACAAAGCGGTGCACGAACACAAACAAATAAACAGCGACTCAAACACGTTCGTCGCAGCACCTGCTATGAAGAGGGCCCATTGCCCGAAACGTCGCCTGTTACACATCCGTTTCCCAGTTTATTTTCAGTCGTTCCTCGCAAGCGGCGTTCTTGACGGATTTTTCAGGAGACGCTCACTCTAAGAAGGCCGATGGTCGAGAGAAATGACGGAATGGCAGCCACAAGGCATGGAACGTGTCGGAGAGGACGTCGGCACGGGGAGACGGAGCGACAATATGGGACTCGTGTTGTTGGTTGTATCGTGAATGACGGCGTCGGCTCGCGAATGCCAATCTACATCCAGCAGTAGATCGATCATGGCTGATGGTGAAGAATATTTAGCCGATATTACGTATTAATTAATGCGTTCATGCATCGTTGGACAATAGTGTCCAGTATCGGCGTGTCTATATTATCACAAGTCATAACTGGCTATCTCCACAGAGCCTTAAGAATTCCTTTCGATGCAATAAATAATACATGAGTCTACGGCCCATTGTCAATCCGCTGCTCGGATGAGGGCCTCCCCACGCCGCGTCGGGCATGGGGTTTGTTTGACCATACTTCACCACGCAATCTCAGTGTGGGTTGTTGAATGGGGGGGGGGGAGGGGTGGATGAACCAAAGGCCGGTCGAGTGAGATCACTCGCCACTGATGTTAGCCGTGGCCGCGAATACAGCTCCCCGGTTGCTGCTGGGTTCATTGCGCAGCGCGCTATCCACTTGCGCCACCGCCCTGACCCCTTCCATGTCATCAAACGGCACCTTCGGTTGGCGTGCGCGGTGCGCGCGTGCGGCGGCGATTTCACGGTCACGGAATTACCGCGCGTGGACGCAGGGCCGTACGAGTGAGGATAGGCGAGTCATAAATGGGCTCTCATCATTTAGAGGGTTTTTTTTGGTTGGGGGTAGATCGTGTAATAATATATTAATGTGTCGTTAAAAGCCGCCACCACCCGACACGGCTAACTACTAAGGGCTGTCACGTAAATAGAACGTGGCCAATTCGTCACTAGTACAGCACACCGGTGTGTCGGAGAGCCAAGCCATTTCATGTTTATCCGGCGGGCCCTTCGTCCCCAACGATGTAATTCCGTTACCGTTTAATTGCGAATTTAACATTCGCGTATGAATGTATACAGTCTAATAGATCATTATCAATGTATATATACGCGGTGTATATATATGCAATTAAAAACAAATATTCCCACCATACAGAATAGCCGTGTCCAGACTGTTGGGGAAAACTACTGTCAAGGCCGGAACGAGGAGGATTGGGTGGTGATGGTGCTGTGCCTAGCCCCACGCCCGTCCGCCTTTGTCTCCACAGGTGCTGATATATACATACAGCGCCAGTTATCCCACTAATTTCATGCTGAGCCGACCTAGCGAGGATGCAAGACCGGTTGATATCTGATATAACTCGCCACTGATTTTTTTTTGTTTTAATCCGCGGTCAGGAATCGATATCCCCCGGGTTCCAATGGGCAGTGCGCTAACCGCTGCGCCACCGCTCCTCCACTCCACACACATGGCCCTGGGCACGAACAGACCACATTGGTCGAAGTGCAGCAGCAGCGACAGCGGCAGAAGGAGCAGCGATCTCAATCGACTCACAAACGTTGGACACTAATCGCATGCACCGCTTAGCGACCTCACATGGCTTGAGTGAACCACACATGGCAGTATCAGTGGAGGGGGGGAAGGGTGGGGGAGGAGGAGGCGGGGATGGTGGGGGGGGGTAGTTGTGGTGGTGGTGGGTGGTTGTAGGGGAGGGTGGTGGAGTGGTGATGGAAGCGATTGTGTATCGGGACGGTGGTGGTGGAGGAGGGGAGGAGGTGGTGGTGGAGTCTGGTGGAGTACGTGGGTGGGAGGACGCGGATGGTGCCGGTGGTGGAGGCAATGGCGTGTTGGGAAAGTGGTGGTGGTGGATGGGAGGGGTTGGTGGTTTTGTCCAAACGCGTGCTGAGACGCAAGGAGGGCAGGAGTTATACCTTCGCTGTGTATGTATGTGTGTCGGTGTGTGTGAGAGTATATATATGCAGGATAAGGCACGTCATACTTGTAGGTGTTTCCATGGTGATTCGCTTTATAAAAGTGATGGCAGGAGCCAACTTCGTCTGTCCATGCAAGCAGGGACGAGCCAGAGCTGTCATCATCACCACCAACTTTGAAGCGAGCTCTCTCTCTTCGCTACACCTTTACCAAGTGAGTCCATCCTTCTGTCATTGTTGAATTGCACTTAAAATACAGCTTGCCCAGCGCACGCCAATTAGTAATTATTATCATGCTCAGGTTTTTCTTCTTTATTGTACAACATTTTGATTCGGAAAAGTAAAACAAAAAGTTCCAATTTATTTCTTGATTCTACGATTATGTATGCTTCAACCAACCAGCATGGTCAAACAGCCCACAATTCCGACACAATTACTGTGTTATTTATTTACGACTGTCTTGTTTGTGTTTTTTTTATTTGACATCACGTAGAGCGCTGATGGATTTTTAAAAGTTACGAGGTAGGTCGTGGTCACTGACTCGAGTCTCCGTCTCGTGAGCGAGGCAACGTTGTGAATGTTTGCAAGGGTCGATGATGATGATGATGATGATTTCTTTTAGTAATTAAACAAAAAAATCACCCGCTTGATGAACTGTATTTGCGTGAAAACCGATGGTGTTAACTGAATGAGTTTTATATTCTTATCAAACTTCCGAAAAAAATCCGTTTTCAGTATTTTGATTGCTAATAATTTTGCAAAAAATCGCATCTTCCCCTATAATGCATTGTACAAACGATCGCTACGTTTGTCAACACGCTGACATTTAAAAAGAGGGAAGTGATTACGAACTTTGCAGCAAGTGGTGAGAGAGGGCATTCATTTTAACTTCTCAACTGACTTTACGCAAAACACGTAACATACGTCAACACTTAGAGAGATAGAGAGCGAGAGAAACATCACACCGCCAACACAACCCAAGCACCGAGATCCTCTGCGAGTCTGTGGAAAACAATCAACGACCTTACTTACCTCTGCAAAACCAAATCGCTCATCGTCGCGGTCACATCCGCATCAAACGACCACGGGCTTAATGATCGATGCCACGCCGCTCAACATCTCAGCCGAGAGCTACCAAACTCCTCCGCTCTGCGAGCCGGCGAAATCGTCCGCATCGTCCATCCGCGGTGCAGCCACAGGTCCACCACTTCGCGAGCCTCCGTCTTGCTCGGCAAATCTCGCGTCTCTCCTCTACACCACCACCCCCCCCCCCCCGGCCCGCCCTCATCGCCCCACATGTACCCGCAGTGCGAACCGCGCGCGTTTGACCGCAGCTATTAAGTAAGCAAGCGGGCGACGCGTTTGTCTGTGAGTCCGTCTTTGGTACGCGGCGGGACGAGTGAGCTGACTAGGTGAGTCTGCGGCCGCTAGGTGGTACTGTTTTGTTTGCTGATTAAAACACACAACAACAACAACAAAAACGGATTGATGTTCTTTCGCTCCCCCCCCCCCCCCCTTACTCTTTCCCACGCGGCGCTCCGCCGAAATGCGGGCTTAAGAATCGTCTCACCGTGATTGCTAAGCGTCGAGATGCAGGCCGCGCGCGTCGGAATCTCGAGCCGTTCTGTTGCTGCTGTTGCTGCTGCTGTTGCTGCTGCTGCTATTGCTGCTGCTCTTCGCTCGTGATGCACGCGACTCGGCACGCCGAGGACACGTCCGGCCTCGTTCGCCTTTCTTCCACTCAACACGATCGCTCCACCGCAGGCAGCCTCGTGCGCAACCGAGGCTACGATAGCAACGGACACAATCCGTCGATCCGATGTTCATCGCGTGGCCGTGCGCGCGCGTGTGCGATGAACGAGGGCGGCGCGTGTTCGTGCGTACAAATAACACACGCCTCGTTCGTTTTACGCACACACACAAAACTCTAAAAGTTGGCTCCGAGAAAAGCGCCTACTTCGCGCAGGGGACACGCACAGAAAATGCGAAAGTGCTGTCACCAATTTCACGTGCGCGCACGCACACGCGCGTGTGTGTGTACACAAGCATACTGAACTCGAGTTGGTGTTATCTAAAGTCTAAATGAACAAATGTATCTATTTTTTAGACGCAGAAATCAGATCCGACGAGCGCTGCTTTATTGCACCGCTTCTTGCCACCACCCCCCCCCCCCCTACTCCTCCAGCACATCCGATTAGCACGGTTGACTACGTACGGCGCGAAAGAAGTTCAACATACAAACATACAGTACGTACATGATGCAATCCGGGCGCACGTTCGAGACGCGCGCTCCAAGTCACACACAGACGCGAGCGGATAAACACGCGACTTCAACACGCGGGTGCAGCCGGAAAGCTGCCGAGCTCTTTCCGCGCAACTCGAGAGCCCCGCTTGGCATCGCTGCTGCTGCAGTATAGAGACTCTCCAAGTTGACAGTCTATAGGGCTATTCCGTTTCATTCCTGGCTCCGGCTTGCGGGTCGCGCGCACTGCGATGTGTGTTGCGCTGTTGGCAGTGGTGGTGCAGTCGCCGCCGCTGCCGCTGCTGCTGGCGCTGCGTTAAGAGTGAGGATGGTGGCGGTGACACTGCTGGTGACGATTGCCATGCCGGTCGCGAGTGTTAGTGGAGACAGTAAAAGTGCTGAGTGGTGCGAGTGGCGCGTGAGCTGGTGACACTCGTGGTACTGGTGCCGTTGGTGCTGACGATGGTGGTGCTGGTGGGGTGGTCCCGGTGGTGCTGACGATGGTGGTGCTGGTGGGGTGGTCCCGGTGGTGCTGACGATGGTGGTGCTGGTGGGGTGGTCCCGGTGGTGCTGACGATGGTGGTGCTGACGATGACAGCGAAGGTGCCGGCGCTCGTGGTGCTGCTGCCGGTGGCGGTAGCAATAATTGCGCACGATGACGAGCGATGAGAGTTGCATGGTGCCGATGTTGACGGCGAGTCGAGGGAATCCCCTCGGTCTGCGCGGTGCGGCGGAGACTCGTCGCGTGTCGCCGCGCACTGCGCTCAACTCACGGAAGCGGCAGCAGCAGCGCCGACCCCCTGTGCAATATAAACCAAGCCCCTGCCTCGACGACCCCCCCCCCCCCCCCCCGCCACCACCACTCACGGTGCCCACCTCTCTCTCTTTCTCTCTCGTGTCTCATGGCAGAACGGCACCGGCAAAATTAGCAGCGCCCGCGAATGTTTGACATCCCAGAGACGTTCATCCCAACTCACGGCGACAACCTCGAAACTTTCCCCGCGCGCGCGCGCGCGCGTTTCGCCGTGCGCAAAGTCGCACGCGCGCAGGACGCATCCAGTCCGCGAACAGCACGCGCGTGTTCCTTTATTGACTGTAGTTCTGTTGTGTTATTCGAACCAACTCCCCCCCCCCCCCGCCCCCACTCCAACTCCCTCTTCCGCACCTCTTCATCCGTCGGCTTTGCCTGATCCGATCGACCACCAACCTTCAACAACCGCCCGCCCGCCCGCCCGCCCGCAACTCGCGGCACCGCTTCTGCTGCCTCCGTGGCGCCAACCGCGGAGCAGGGGACGCAGCGCGCGCCGGCGACGTGAGACGTCGCAGGGAGACAGAGAGAGCGCAGAGCCATGCTTCTGCTGCCCAGCCTCGACGCGGTGTCGGCCGCGAGCACCGTCACCGCGTGCCTCGCGTCGCTCGTGCTCCTCGTCACCGTCGTGCAGCAGCTATGGAGGCTGCGCTGGTCGGCGGGGCGAGACAAGAGCAGCGCCCTGCCGCTGCCCAAAGGCTCCATGGGCTTCCCCGTGGTGGGAGAAACGTTCCACTGGATGGTGCAGGTGAGGCGGTGGCGGCTGCGGCAGAGGAGGAGGAGGAGTGCCGGGGTTGATGGATGAGTTGCGGACGCGCGCGCGGCTCGATTGTTGCGTTAATGCACGCGTCCTCGCTCCCCGCTCGCACACTCATTCACGCTCCCCACTCGCTCACTCCCTCACCCTCCCCACTTGCTCACTCACTCACCCTCCCCACTCCACTCACTCACTCACCCTCCCCACTAACTCACTCACTCACCCTCCCCACTTTCTCACTCACTCACCCTCACCACTTGCTCACTCACTCACCCTCCCCACTCCACTCACTCACTCACCCTCCCCACTCCACTCACTCACTCACCCTCCCCACTAACTCACTCACTCACCCTCCCCACTAACTCACTCGCTCACCCTCCCCACTTGCTCACTCACTCACCCTCCCCACTTGTTCACTCACTCACCCTCCCCACTCACACTCACTCCCTCACCCTCACCACTTGCTCACTCACTCACCCTCCCCGCTCGCACACTCATTCACGCTCCCCACTCGCTCACTCCCTCACCCTCCCCACTTGCTCACTCACTCACCCTCCCCACTCCACTCACTCACTCACCCTCCCCACTAACTCACTCACTCACCCTCCCCACTTTCTCACTCACTCACCCTCACCACTTGCTCACTCACTCACCCTCCCCACTCCACTCACTCACTCACTCACCCTCCCCACTTGTTCACTCACTCACCCTCCACACTCACTCCCTCACCCTCACCACTTGCTCACTCACTCACCCTCCCCACTCCGCTCGCTCACTCACCCTCCCCACTTGCTCACTCACCCTCTCCACTTGCTCACTCACCCTCCCCACTTGCTCACTCACTCACCCTCCCCACTTGCTCACTCACTCACCCTCCCCACTCCGCTCACTCACTCACCCTCCCCACTTGCTCACTCACCCTCCCCACTTGCTCACTCACTCACCCTCTCCACTCCGCTCATTCACTCACCCTCCCCACTTGCTCACTCACTCACCCTCCCCACTTACTCACTCACTCACCCTCCCCACTTGCTCACTCACTCACCCTCCCCACTTGCTCACTCACTCACCCTCCCCACTTGCTCACTCACCCTCCCCACTTGCTCACTCACTCACCCTCCCCACTCCGCTCACTCACTCACCCTCCCCACTTGCTCACTCACTCACCCTCCCCACTTGCTCACTCACCCTCCCTACTCCGCTCACTAACTCACCCTCCCCACTCCGCTCACTCACTCACCCTCCCCACTTGCTCACTCACTCACCCTCCCCACTTGCTCACTCACTCACCCTTCCCACTCACACTCACTCACTCACCCTCCCCACTCCGCTCACTCCCTCACCCTCCCCACTTGCTCACTCCCTCACCCTCCCCACTTGCTCACTCACTCACCCTCCCCACTCACACTCACTCCCTCACCCTCCCCACTTGCTCACTCCCTCACCCTCCCCACTTGCTCACTCACTCTCCCCACTTACTCACTCACTCCCTCACCCTCCCCACTTGCTCACTCCCTCACCCTCCCCACTTGCTCACTCACTCACCCTCCCCACTTGCTCACTCACTCACCCTCCCCACTTGCTCACTCACTCACCCTCCCCACTTGCTCACTCACTCACCCTCCCCACTTGCTCACTCACTCACCCTCCCCACTTGCTCACTCACTCACCCTCCCCACTCACACTCACTCCCTCACCCTCCCCACTTGCTCACTCACTCACCCTCCCCACTCACACTCACTCCCTCACCCTCCCCACTTGCTCACTCCCTCACCCTCCCCACTTGCTCACTCACTCACCCTCCCCACTCACACTCACTCTCTCACCTTCCCCACTTGCTCACTCACTCACCCTCCCCACTCACACTCACTCCCTCACCCTCCCCACTTGCTCACTCCCTCACCCTCCCCACTTGCTCACTCACTCACCCTCCCCACTCACACTCACTCCCTCACCCTCCCCACTTGCTCACTCCCTCACCCTCCCCACTTGCTCACTCACTCACCCTCCCCACTCCGCTCACTCACGCACTCGGAACGCCGCCAAGACCACAATGGTTAATATGTCGACTCCGGATTCGATGTTCATAGACGCGAGCGAGCCGCGATGACGAATCGTCTCGCGTACAGGTGCCCTGCATCGCGAGACCGCTTGGAAGGGGGGGGGGAGGTAGTCGTCCAGCAGTGGATTGATCACGGACGATGATGGTAACATTTTAGGCAGCAGCAGCAGTTTGCTTTTTTTCTTTCTACATCGAGTTGGCGGTGAGGACCGCGCGGCTCCGTGACTCCGGGGACCGGGAGGCTCGCGGGAGGCTCACGGGACGGCGGTCTCATCCGCGCCCTTCGCTCCCCGTTGCACTGCACAGGCGCAGCAGCAGCAGCAGCGAGTCGACACGGTAGATTGTTCCGCAGATTCTTCAGCAAGATTTTGTCAATCCACTGCTGGATGAGAGCCCCCCCCCCCTCCCCGACCCCGCCCACCCGGTACCGTGCCACGCGGCGTAGTCGGTCGCGATTTCAGGAACTTGCCACGCGGGTGATTGCCACCGCCGCTACGCCACCGATTCCCTGGCACGCACGTCCACAGAGACCACCCCCCCCCCACCCCTCTCCTTGAGCGGCCGCAACACACCAACAGAGAGCCGTGGCAGACTGTTGGGGAGAGCGCTGTGTGGGGTGGGGTGGGCAGCGCGAACCACGCCCGGCCGCCTTTGTCTCTCGGACGGTGACGTCACTCGCTGGCGTTCGCCTCGAGCAGGAATCGAACTCGGGTCACCGGGGTCCCGTAACCGCTTGCTGGTCCCGCCGCTTGCACACGTGCAGCCCAGATAGGTACATTGCACGTGCATCTACGTTGTTACCCTTACACTATCAAAGGCAAAGACAAAGATTCCCCCGTGTAGCCTGTAACAGAATGTTGGGGCAAGTGCTGTTCGCGAGCACCTATGAAGGCCGGCACGGCACACGAGGGGGTGGGTGGGTGGTTAACACCACGCCCGGCCGCCTTTGTCTCTCCAATGGTGATGTTTACGTACCGCACCAGGTACTCATTTGAGGCTGAGTCGACCTAGGGGAGGCCCAGGACCGGTTGAGATAATCGTCACTGGGTGTTGGTGGCCGTGAGCGGCAGGTTTCGTTGCGCAGCGATGCTGACCGCTACGCCACCGCTCCCCCACACAGCATCACGAACCAACACACAATCACACCCTTCTTCTTACAACACACAATCACACTACCCTTCTTCTTACAACACTGACACACCCACACACGCGCCGTAAGGCCGGTCTATCCACACACGTCTCTCTCTACACGTCACCCACCAATAAGGCAAACATCCACCAACCTACACGCAGCTGTACACCCAACCACACACACACCCACACACACACCACCACAAGTTGCTGTTTGCGAGCCGACACGGTGCATGAGAACTAACAATAGGTTTCACCCTTTCTGGCAGTAATACAGTTGTGTTGAGGTGTTAAAACACCAAACAGAATCCTTTTTCAAGGAATCCTGTCTGTATTAAACGCACGCAATTGTGGTGAACGTGCAAACAATTAAAAACATCCTCCGATAATAATAATAAAAGATGCATTGTCTTTGAAACTTATTGGTCCGTATCAGAGACAGCTTTCTTTTTTAGCCTCGTCCCAGACAGTGTTAAACCAGAGGACGCCAAAAGGCGAACAGTTTCAAAGACAATGCTATATATAATTATCAGAGCGTGTTTTTTTGTTTGTTTGCATGTTCACCGCAAGTACTGTGTATGGTTAATGCAAACATGAAGATGTTTTAAAATTTGTGAAACCTATTCTCATATTTTAATATACCAGCAAGAAAGGTAACGTGTTGCGGCGCATGAGGTCGGTTGGGTAGCCTCGAAACCACGCCCGGCCGCCTTTGTCTCCTCCATAGTAGCGATGTTTACACGTCCGCGCACAAGGTACTCAATTTGAGGCTGAGCCTACCTAGGGGCGGGCCCAGAACCGGTCATTGGATTTTGGCGCAGTTTGCGCAAAGCGCTGCACCACCGCTCCAAAGACAAAGGTCCCCCACATAGACTTTAACAGAGTGTTGGGGCAAGTGCTGTTCGCGATCACCGATGAAGGCCGTGCCACGACCTTCAAAGGATGGGTGGCCAGTTCCACGCCCGACCGCCTTTGTCTCCCTGGCAGCGATGTTTACACACCGCACCAGGTATTCGTTCGAAGCTGAGTCGACCTAGGGGTCGACCCAGGGTCGGGTCAGATAATCGTCACTGGTGCTGGCCGTGAGCGGGAATCGAACTCGGGTCGCCCGGGTTCGCAGAGCGACGCACCCTACGAACCTACGCTACCGCTCCCACGGCCGCCTTTGCCTTCCTGTTGGCGATGTTTACACACCAGCGCACCAGGTACTCATTTGAGTCCGAGTCGACCCAGCAGAACTCGCTCAGATAATCGTCACCGACGCCTCGCCGCTGAGCGGAGCGCGGCGCTGAGCGGAGCGCGGCGCGCTATAACCGCTGCGCTAACCACCGCGAGCACTCGGCACAGGCCTCACGCTTCACGCCCCCCGCTAACTCACCGTGGGTTTGTGTGTGTGTGTGGGGGGGGGGGGGGGTGGAGCGCAGGGTTCACGCTTCCACGCGTCTCGCCGGGAGCGCTACGGCAACGTGTTCAAGACGCACCTGCTCGGCCGGCCCGTGGTGCGCGTGACGGGCGCAGAGAACGTGCGCCGAGTGCTCATGGGCGAGCACGCGCTCGTCAGCTCGCAGTGGCCGCTCAGCACCCGCCTCTTGCTGGGAGCCAACAGCCTGGGCATGTCCGTGGGAGACGCGCACAGGAACAAGCGCAAGGTAACACCACCACCGCCCATACCCCCAAGTAGGCACAACGACGTGGCCGCGTCCACCGCAGCTGCGCTGTTTCACCCGCACCGGCACTTAGCGCCGCGACGCTAAGTGGCGGTGGCGTCACCGCGGCGATGTTTTGTGCGCCAGGCTAGGTGGCACCTCGGGGCTGTCACGTGTGAGGGTGTCCGAAGGCTCGCCGCTGCTGGGCAGGAGGAGGTTCACGGGACAGACTCCCCAGGTGCCATGGGTTGACCGGCGGCCGAGATGGCCGACAGACGCACCACCAAGTTGTGCTCCCCGCTGTGCCAAAAAAAAACCCGCTGCGTTATAGCCGCCCGGCGCACCGCTTGGCACGCACGCAAAACGTTCGAGCTGCCTCAAAACTTCGCGGCCACGCGCTTTGCCCCGCTGCCGCACTGAGTCGCGACCTAGGGAGAGGGTGGGGAGTGAGAGGGAGAGGGGTGGGGGGCTAGATCGGTCACTGAACGCCACCGAGGAGAGTTCGTCTGTCCTAGCTTGTGAACAGTGAGGGCTTGAGAATCACCATGTCATATCGGCCGGAACTCCCTAGAATAACGTTTCCACGCCACGTCCATTCTATGAACAGATTTATGTAGGTTTAAACCTGTTCATGGGATTATAGGAAGATACGTTGCCGTATTATTTTATTATTTTAGTAAGGCATACCTTGTACACGAGCGTAGAACCCAGGGGAATACTCGAAGCAAGTTTTGACTTTGTAATTCACACCTTGGTGATGCTGATGAGAAGCAATTTACGTGGATCAGAGGCCAGAGATCTGAGCCAGTGTCAAGGAGATCCTGGAATCGAATCCGTGTGAAGGTTATTGAGTAGTTTCGGGGTTATTGACATTGAGCCAGCACCACGAAGGATATGAGTTAGAGTCCAGGTGAAGGTGCCCAGGTGGATTACGGGTTAGTGACATTGAGCCAGCGCCACTAAGGATACGAGTTAGAGTCCAGGTGACGGTGGCTAGGTGGCTAGGTGGCTGAGAGACTAGGGCACTGAGCTGGCACCACTGAGTCACTGGGGTCACACCTGGAATTTCAGCGAGCTGTTATTAAACCGGGTTCTCAAGTTTAGTGAGTTGATGGTCTCAGCCCAATCACCAATGACTGCACAAAAGACCACCCTATGAATATAGTGTTTTCATTAAAATGGCTTATTTCAGGTCTGGAAATGAAACAAAAAGGCAGTTTTACGTGCAGGAAATAATGCACGAAGGGCATATTAAGACGAGTCTGTATTTATAGGCCTATTAAAGAAGATTCAGACGTAGTTCTGTGATGCTACCTTCCAAGATCCTTCTCTGACATAGGCTGATACACTGCTAGCTGCAAGAGTTTGGGATGGAAATGTCTTCATCTCATTACAAGATGATGCTCATAGCACAATGAGGGATATAAATACATCTGGAAATAAAATAAAATAAGTTTTGTCACAGCACCGTGGTGACTTGTACGCAGTGATTTATTAAAAGCCGGTGAGTCTCACTGTCAATCTCAACCACGTCCAGAGATCTAACCCATGCCTCTGTTGGTTATAGCGCAATGTGCTTTACCTTTAGAAAATGTAAAACAAAGGGTATTTTTTCTTCAAATAAGCGTGTGGGTTTCTCATCTCTATTGGTGGTCCTGAGCCAAATTTGGAAATTCGTCATTGCTATGGCAGGGGGAAGTAATTCCGTAACAACAGCCGCTGTTGCCTCCCGACAAAACAGTGCTTATTTTATTGACTCCAGAGAAGTGATGTTGATGATGATCGTATCAAATAGACCCAAATAGGTAGATGGCTCTAAAGTAACAACAAGAATAAAGCCATTGCCGATCTGACCCCAACCATCGCACCGCTAAAAGTTTCCCCTCCCTCAACCTCCCACCAGGAATGTGGGGCTCTGCGGTGCCAAACACGCACTTTCAGGAATTGAACAAACTTCCCAATTGCGGGACCCTTCTCCAATCAAGACATTTTTGGACGAGTTGAGGCTTCCCTTAGTCGAACACAGTCCATTCACATGCTCCCCGTACGTCGAAATAATAATAACCAGCATGTCAACTTGTAACGCGCCGTACAGTATTCGCTCGCTCTCGTAGAGAGAGGAGAGACGACTCGCAGGCGCGATGATGAACCATCACGGACAAGCGGGAAGGCAGCAGCAGCGGCAGCAGCCACGCGATGAGCCGCCACCAACAATCGCCCATTGTAATCAGCCAAATAATGAGCGTTTACAATCGGAACACGATTATGAAATCCCTAACCCTGACCTCACCACCGTTAAACTCTCCCACCTCCCCCTGCCCACTCACCCCCTCCGACACTCCCTGCAGGTGATGGCGCAGGTGTTCAGCCACGCGGCGCTGGAGGGATACCTGCCGCAGGTGCAGCTGATGGTGCGTGCGGCAGTGTCGCGCTGGCGGGACTGCGCCAGCGTCGTCACGGTGTACCCCGAGTGCAAGACGCTGACGTTCCGCGTGGCGCTGCACGTGGTGGTGAGCTCGCGCATCGCGCCCCACGAGGAGGCGCTGCTCGCCGACGCCTTCGAGCAGTTCGTCGAGAACTTCTTCTCCCTGCCGCTCGACGTGCCCTTCAGCGGCCTGCGCAAGGTGAGGCGGACGGAGGAGGAGGAGGGCGGCCCGCGTGCGTGGCGCCACGGTGGGGCCCACCCCGGGACTCTGTCCACCCCAACGATAAATCTGTCCACCCCAACCCGGACTACTGTCCACCCCACCCCGGACTTCTGTCCACCCCACCCCGGACTTCTGTCCACCACAACCCGGACTTCTGTCCACCCTACCCCAGATTCCTGTCAACCCTAAACCGGACTCCTGTCCATCCCACCCCCGAATCTGTCCACCCCAACCCGGACTCTGTCCACCCCACCCCAGACTTCTGTCCACCCCACCACGGAATCTGTCCACCACACCGTGGACTCCTGTCCGGGGTGGGGTGGACGTACCGATGAAGTGATTTTACCTTACGTACACTTACATCTTCGCAATGGGAAAGGGGTTAATCGCAAGAGGACGTTGTGCACGCTCGGGGCATCGTGTTGACGGACTGTCGGGAACAACGAGCGGTCTCGGGCAGTGCACGTCGCTCGAAGGGACGACGATCCCGCACCTCCGATTATCGTGGTTGGCTACGTACGGCGCAAAAAAAGTTCAACACACACACGTGTCCACTGTAGAGACGGAGCGATGAGATTGGCCTCGTGGCTCACAGACACGAGCTAGACGGGTGGGATGGGTAGCAGCACATTGAGGTGGGATGTGTGGCGACTTTGGAATTCATCCGGCAGTGGATAGAACATGCCTGCTGATGGAAGATGCGATGTGTAGCGATGAACGCGGTGATTTTGTGAATGTGTTCTTTTTTTATTGTCATCGTCAATTTTGTGCCTAGTTTGTTGTCCTTCCCCCCCCCCCCCCGCCGCACCTCCAATTAGCACGGTTGTCTAAGTACAGTGCGAAAGAAGTTCAACATGCGTACATACATTAAGGATTGAGGCGGTGTTTGTTGTCGACTGGAGAGGAACAAGCGCACGCTTTCTCACTCGTATGTCAACCCCGCCATCGGCAGAAGCGTAGACCCTGAAAGTTCATTTCGGTTTGCTCATCGCCCTTTGGCTGTCCCATACCGAGAAGGGATTTAATAATAGCCGAGTGCCGTGTCGAGTCTTGCGTGATTCAGTCAAGCCCGGTCAAGCCTTCCCTTGTCAATGAATCTTTTTTTTTGTTCGATGAGCTAGAGGTAAAAAAATGCGTGTATTTTTCATTAAAAGAAGAAGAAAACTACTCCGTGGGTTTAGATATTTCCCCTGTGGTTGGGTTCGCGGCGCAACGTGGAGCGGACCCTGCGCGCTTTAACGTCACGACAGCGGCCGAGACTCGCGGCCGGGAGATGGAGCGATGAAATCAGCTCGTTCCGCAGCAGTTAGAGAGAACGTTGCATCTCGATAAAATATTTTCGCAACTTAGCCACCGTTGGTATGTTGTGCTTCATGATTGAGATTTGAACTACCGTGCCTGATATGCAGTAGGTCATGAGTTCGATCCAGACCCTGACGCCTGTAGGTTTGGAGTTTGCATGTCCCCCTCCCCGTAGTCGCGTGGATTTTTCTCTGGATCATCCGGTTTTTCCCTCCACATTTAGAAACATTCGTTTAGAACATTTGGCTGCTCTACATTTCTACGTGATAAGCCACTTCGTTGAGCTACCATTTGTGGGCAGGTCGCTTGTGAAACGAACTATACAGCTCAGTGGGCCTTACCTGGTCGTTGTAGTTTACTTGCTGCTCTGCATGAGAGTGGCTTCACCATCCACCCCTGACTGTCCCCTCTCCCGCCCCCCCCCCCCCCCCCCCCCCCAATCTGCCGCAGGGCCTCAAAGCCAGGAAGGTGTTGCACGGTTACCTGGACAAGCTCCTTCGCGACAAGCTCGAGCGGCCGGAGTTTAAGGAGTCCCAGGACGCCATGGACATCCTCATCAGCAGTGCCAAGGAGCATGGCAAGGAGATGTCCATGCTGGAGCTGAAGGTGAGAGGACGCAGATCTTCTCAAAACCCGCGGCGGTCGTCATCCCTGCCAGCCACGCGTCCTCTCCGCCTCTCAGATTTAGTTCAATTTTCCTTGCCGACGTTTGAGTTACGTGTCGTAGCAGGTGTGCACTTATGTACGTTGAACTTCTTTCGTATCGTACGTAGACAACCGTGCTCATCGGGGGTGCAGCGGAATGATGACAAACTAACACACACAAAAACGGTAATGTGCAGCGATTGAAAACGTTTTCTTTTCGGCATCACTGGTGGTGGTGGCTATGCACGTGGTCTGGCATCCTGCACTGCGGAGGCAGAGAGGGTTGGGAGAATCACACAAATGTTGTGAAACTCCCTTCCTGTGGGCGTTGAGGTGCCATACCCTGGCTCGCCAGAAGGCGGCACCAGCAAGTGGACAAAATCGCCATCTGTTTGCATCTGTACAGGGATAGAGTGTAGCTCCCTCGCACAATGGTATTTGTTTTCTTTGGGTGCTCTGCTTTCCTCACACTTGTATAATAAGCATCTCACCATTAATTGGCTGACATCTTAAAATAAAATCCCAACGTAGCGGGACACTCGCCAAAAGAGTAAATACGTGCATTTGAAAGCTTTATTGTAATTACGATAGAATTAAACTTTCTAAAAGCACTCCATTCTCCTCTCGCTCGCCTCTTCGCTTCGTTATTTTGATCCCGGTCCATAGTTTTCTTTGGCAAAAAAAAAATATGCGGTGGGAGTCATTTGAGGTTTTTTTTTTTTTGCGGTGAAGCAGTTGCGGTACACTGGGTCAGCTGACCGGTCAGTACTGCGGAGGGTTCATGGCGCGGTCCGCGACCACTGTTGAAGCGCGTCGCGTGAACGGGGCGATTTGCAGACACGATAGGCGGGTGAGCACGCGGTTGCCGACACGTTGGGGACGTGTGCCTCACAGTGCGAGCGCGGGAGCGTTGGTTCGGGCGATGACGATGCTGAATCCCTGGCACCAGCGCGTGGTTACCGCTGGATTCCCCCGCACCTCCGAGTCGTCGTCATCACCGTTTCTCTCTACGGGAGCGAGTGAATACTCTGCGGCGCTTTACAAGTTCAAATTAGTTTTATTGTTAGCCTTCACAGTAAATATGCCAACTTTGGGCCAACGTTGGCACGTGGTTGGAGCAATTGGGTCAACATTGACCCAACGTTACACGTTTACCGGGCTCTTCCGTTTTCGTGCAATTGCATCGAGGTTTTGGCCCGCTCTGCATGTGAACATTTACAAAGACAAATATATCTCCCCTATAGCCTTGACAGATTGTTGGGGCAAGTGCTGCTAACGAGCGCCTATGAAGGCCGACACGTGGCAAACGAGGTCAGGAAGGTGGAGGTGGGGTTGGCCAGCACCTCACCCAGTCAGCTTTGCCTCCCTAGTGGCAATGTTAATTTATTCACCGCCCCTGGTTATTCATTTGAGGCTGAGTCAACCGAAGGGAGACACAGGACTGGTTCAGATCATTCACGATGTAACACGATTTTTGTTCCTGGGTAGTAAATGTTGTTTTCTAATTGCTTAAGCCTCAAAAGTACAGAATGTGTCTGTTATTATTATTCCCTACAAACTTTGCTTTTGTGACCAGGACTTAATGTGAACGCAAGACACAAATATACACCACGTGTTCTCACTGAAAATAGGTAAACTTAAAAATATCACTGTACTGGTCACAAAAGCAAAGTTTGTGGGGAATAATAGCCATTTTCTGTACTTTTGAGGCATAAGCAATTAAGAAATAACACTTACTACCCAGGAACAAAAACATTTTTTGTTACACAGTGTTATTGATGGAGTGGATTATTAACTTTGCTTTTGTGTCCTGGTCACAAAAGCAAAGTTTGTGGGGAATTATAGCCACTTTCTGTACTTTCGAGGCATAAGCAATTAGAAAATTAAACTTACTACCCAAGAACCATTTTTTGTTAAAAAAATATTGTTACACATCGTCACCAGCCAACGCAGCCTCTCGCTCGCCGGTGGAGCTCATCACCGTGGGTTTAAACGAGCGAGAGATGCAACCCACCTGGTACGCTCACCCCCCTGTACGCTCACCCCCCCCTGTACACTCACCCCTCTGTACACTCACCCCTCTGTACGCTCACCCCTCTGTACGCTCACCCCCCCCTGTACGCTCGCCCCGCACACGCAAAGGAAGCGGCCGTGGAGCTGATTTTCGCTGCGCACGCCACCACGGCGAGCGCCAGCACGTCGCTCGTGCTGCAGATGCTCAAGCACCCCGACACGCTGGCGCGCCTGCGGCGGGAGCTCGCAGATGCCGGCCTCGGCGGGGGTCCGGCGGCAGCGGCGGCGGCGGCTGCGGGAACGGCAGAGCGTCCTCCGCTCACCCTGGGACGCCTCGTCGGCCTGCGCTACCTCGACTGCGTCGTCAAGGAAGTGCTGCGGCTGCTGCCGCCCGTGTCCGGCGGCTACCGCACGGCGCTCAAAACCTTCGAGCTCGAGGTTCGTTCCCTGTGGGGCCCGCGGGAAGGGGAGCGGGCTGGGGCGGTGGGGTGGGGGGGGGTGTTGGGGTGACCTCCTCTAAGCCGCGCTACGGACCCGGCGGCGCGAGCCCTGGGTTCCCGCTCGCGGTCGACACCGGCGGCGATCGTGAGAAACGCTTCTTCGTTGGCCTCCCCTCGGTACGACTCGGCCTTAAGCGAGCAGCTGGTGCAGCGGTGTGTAAACATTGCCGCTGAGGGAGACAAAGGCGGCTGGGCGTGGTGATAGCCCCCCCCCCCTCCCCCCCCCCTCGTGTGGCATGCCGGCCTGCATGGGTGCTCGCTAGCAGCACTTGCCCCAAAAAGTTTGTTAAGGCTATACGGGGGATCTTTGTCTATGGGGCCTCCTCGAGGTTGAATCGGCTTTAAATGACTTATCCGGTGCAACGTACCGGATTCGTTTCTTTGATCGATGTTTTGTGCAGTGTTTTTTTTGAAATTCCCCGATAGCACGATGAGCCTTTGCCCCGATGGTCTACTCGTCTCGGTCGCGGTATTTCATTGCACTTGCTGTCCTCGTTCTGCTCACTCTCGCAACATGAGACTCCCGTCTTGGCCCCCCACCCCCCCCGAGCCTGAGCCCTGGGTCACGCGAGCGACGGCATTGCTCCACGCGATGGAGCGTCAGCAAACCTCGGCTCGCGTCACTTCTCGCGAGCGAAAGTCCCCAGCTGTCGCAACATCCACGCGTGAAGCCGAATCACGGTTGCAACCCACAACAGCAACAGATTCTCTTCCCCCCTGGCGCGTGACCAGTAGTGATTCACGCGATGGCTTTCATTTTTACAAATCGCACGGTAGGATTTAACGTGTTGCCTACGCTCTTGCGTTTTGACCCTTATGTATATATAGAGAGTTGTCTTTGTATGGGGCGGGGGGTAGGTAGGGGTTTGCCCTCAAACTTCCGAGGCCCCGGGACGACAGGCCCCCCTGAAACCTCTGCGTTAATCGGGCCCCGGGTCGTTGTTACAGGTCACAGGTCATTGTTACAGGTCACAGGTCGTTGTTACAGGTCACAATTCATTGTTACAGGTCATTGTTACAGGTCACAGGTCATTGTTACAGGTCACAGGTCATTGTTACAGGTCACAGGTCGTTGTTACAGGTCACAGGTCATTGTTACAGGTCACAGGTCATTGTTACAGGTCACAGGTCGTTGTTACAGTTCACAGGTCATTGTTACAGGTTCGTTGATTGAGTGCTGCACGAGTCGAGTAGAATGAAGGCCGAGCGAAATGAAGGGCTGACCGGGAGCAGGTCGGAGCTGACTTTGGAGAGCTGAACTTGATTGTGAAAAGTGACCAACAACCCCCCCCCCCCTCCCCACTGTGGCGGTGCGTACCACAGGCCGCTTGTCACACGCCGTGCTGAGAGAACGACAGCCGCTAAGCGCATCGCACGATCGTCACACGTGGTGGCAGATTGGGGGAGGCTTTTATCCGGCAGTGGATTGATTATGACGATGATGATGGTGGTGGTGAGACATTATCTGCCTTGCCTGATATACAGGTGGTCGTGGTTTCTCCCCTCCACATTTAGAATCAACGTCACGCGTTTAGAGCGTTATAAGCCACTTCGTTGAGCTATCATTTGTGGCCAGGTCGGTTCTAAAAAAAATAGTTATATAGCTCAGCGGGTCTTACCCACATGCAACCGCATTCTATAAATTAAACTTTTTTTTTATTGTAGCAGCTAAGACCCACTGAGCTATATACAGTAGCTCTCTTTCAGACGCGACCTTGCCACAAATGATAGCCCAATGAAGCGGCTTATCGCAGCCAAATACAGCAGGCATCGTCAGGGTCGGGATTGAACCCACGACCTCCTGCGCACCAGGCGAGGTAGTTAACATCTCCCAGCCCACATTCACGCGCTTGACCGTCGCCCCCCCCCACCCCGCAGGGCTGCCAGATCCCCAAGGGCTGGAGCGTCCTCTACAGCATCCGCGACACGCACGAGACGGCGCCGGCCTTCAGCTCGCCGCTTGACTTCGACCCCGACCGCTTCGACGCGACGCGCGCCGAGGACTCGAAGGAGCGCTTCAGCTACCTGCCGTTCGGCGGCGGCGTGCGCAGCTGCCTGGGCAAGGAGCTCGCCAAGCTCATCCTCAAGGTGCTAGCCGTCGAGCTCGCCGGCGGCTGCACCTGGGAGCTGGCGAGCGCCGAGTACCCGCGCATGCAGACGGTGCCTATCGTCCACCCGGTGGACGGACTCCACGTGCGCTTCAAGGCCCTGCCCACGGACGAGGGGGTCGAGAAGAAGCCGCCAGCGGTGCCGGTGGCGGTTCCGGAGAGCGACGACGCCGAGCGGGAGGAGTGACTCCTCCCGCTCGGGGGATCCTCCTGCGTCACGGCGGACGGGGGGATGTGACGCGGTGCGGAGAGACGACAGAGAGACGGAGGAGAGATGGTGTTGAGGTGTTATATACCCCTTGCGCGCGTGTCTGTGGGTGCGGGGGGCGGCGTAGCGGTGAGGGTGCCGCGCTACGAGCGCGGTGACCCGAGTTCGATTCCCGCTCACGGCCACCAGCACCAGTGATGATTATCTGAACCGGTCCTGGGCCTCCCCTTGGTCGATTCAGCCTCAAATGAGTACCTGGTGTGGTGTGTAAACATCGCCACTGGGGAGACAAAGGCGGCCGGGCGTGGTGTTGGCCACCCACCCCCTCGTGTGCCGTGCTGGCCTTCATAGGTGCTCGCTAACAGCACTTGCCCCAACAGTATGTTAAGGTTATACGGGGGATATTTGTCTTTTTTTGGTTAATTAGGGCGCTCTGATTCCACCCTATGTGGAATAATAATGAATAATAATGCAAATTGTCCCAAGTTCGGATGTGTGTGTGTGTATGTCCGTCTGTGTGTCCCTCTCACTATGTCTGCCTCGTTGTCTTTCACGTCTTTTTCGCTGTTTGTCTGGGTGTCCGTATTTGCAGCTGTTTGTCTCACTGCCTGTCCGTCTGGTTCGTTTGTGTGTCTGCACGTCTGTCCCTACTTAAATAAGAGTTGGGTAGTTGTGAAGGTCTGAATATGCCTGTAAATGCTACTCCTTTGGTAGGACCCCGCTCTTAACATCGGACATCCCAAGCAGTTCCCTCCTTAAAACGAGCCTCGAAAGCCCACGCGCGAAGCGGCAGAGAGGGTCGGATGTGCCATTCTAGTTGACATCGCAATCGGCTGAGTACGTTTGGAGGTCTAGGTTTGGGAGAGACTTTCATCCAGCAGTGGATCGATTGATGGGTTCGGCATTGGAGGGTCCCGACGTGAAATCAAATGTCCACGCGCTCCCCGCGCGTAGCTTCACTCCGGTTGTGCCTTCGTTTTAAGGCGCAATTCATTTATTTCGAATAAGAGTGTCTTTTGTTACCGCCTTTTGAGGCAGCGTGATAGTTCCACTCAGACGCGAGTCTAAGCGTCAGATAAAATACGTACGAAAGTCGAACTTCTTTCGCACGTGTACGTAGCCAACTCTGACTAATCGGGGGTGAGGGCCAGGGGCGGGGGTGGTAAGGACGACGAATGAAACTCAAAAGCAGTTCTCAAGAGAGCAGTTTTCAACCGGGAGTGTGTCTGCACGGCACGCTCCGACCAAGGCGTAGACGGTGCCCACGATCGCTCGCGTCAACGATCGCGGCCGTCTGTGTGGGTGGCGCTCCAACCATCGTTTGAGCCGAATTTTTCTGTTTTGTTTAAGATGCAAACCGTGGGGGGTGATATTAACGTAAGAAAAAAACAACCAATGTCAGTTTGTTAGTGGGTTTGTTGTTGTTGTTGTTACTTTACCATTCACCGGTTCCAACTCCCGGCGCTGCAGTCGAAACAGCGGCGGTGCAAGTGTCTTAGATCGACCTCCCCCTTGCCTCCACACCGCCTCTGTCCACCCAGCAGCAATACCGAGTACTCCACGGTGCATCAGTGGGGTAGAGTGTGGGTAGACTCCCACCTCTTCCACGACGTTGGGCCAGCGTAGAAGAGTAGACCAAAATACCTCCCTTAAATGGGGGGCTCTCTTTGTAAAGGCTCCGTCAGAGGAACGCTCCCCGAGAGTTCTCCCCAGTGGAGGCCAGCCGTGGCGAGAGCACGCGACCCGAGGAGCCGCTCTCGTTGTTGTTGCCGAAGCCGCAGACCGACCCACCACCACCACTCCGCCCCACGCCGACCCACCACCACCACCACTCCACCCCACGCCGCCCCACGCCGCCCCCACAACTCCACCCCACGCCGCGCCGCCAGCACCGAAAGACTCCGAACAGCGCCATGCTCATTGACGCGTCGCCGTTACACCTCCGCGCGCGTAGCGATGCGCCCGTAAGCCGCTGTCGACGCGGTCGTGTAACTGGCGCTTGGGAACTGCTCGCGAGATCACTCTTCGGTAACCGCGTCGATAAGATGTATAGAGGGGGGGGGGAGGTAAAGTTGAAGGAAAATATTTTATTTTTGTATAAGTATCCGGTATAGCGCTTAATGATGATGTCTAATGCTGCCGTAAAAACGCAGGATAAGTTGGCACGGGGGGGAAGGGGGGGGGGTCACGTTGAGTTTAACGCAAAAGCCGCAAAGTGAACGTCGCAAGGACTTTCGGACCCGAATGAAATACCGAGACGGGCCATAATGCAGTCTCGATACGTTACATTGCATTGCGTGCATGATCCGACCTGTACATATGTTAGCACTTCATGTAGTCGACACTATCATCATAAGTTGTAACCAAACGATGTATTATTATTGTTGTTGTCGGTATTATAATTATTGCGTGCTATTATTGAGACCGCTGCCTGTGTCAGTATTGACTCTGCATACTGACGAGTATTTCCGCGGGTAGCTGACACGTGCGTGTATGTTACAAGATAGCCTTAATGAGAAAACACACACGCACACACCCATGGATTTCTATATTTGTACTTCGTAGCCTCGTCGTTGCGGCATTGCATTCGTTGTTTGTAAATAGAGCACATTGAGTGCCCTCCCAGTGTTTGTATCTCGAGTATCCCCCCCCCCCCCCACCGACCATCCCCCACCTTCTGTCCATTTACGCCAATATTGAACGTAAGTTCCCCTTAACGTATTTAATTAACATCGGCTGTGGATCGTGTTATTTAATAATAATAATAAAAAACAAACCCGACGTCATGACACGCTTGTGCGTCTTCCCTTAATGTCTCCGCGATGGGCTGGCGACTTCGCAATGTGTGTGTGTGTGTGTGCGCGCGCGCGCACGTGTGACAGATCTCAACGACGGATACTGTGACAGCTTCATCGCCATGAACCGCGTGTCCCGAGTGGTTGTCACGTCCGAGTCGGTGGCTGTTGATCTGAGCTCGACGAAGTGAAATCGGTGGCCCTGAGTAGCTGTGGGAGTCGCCCGATAGCCCTCGCCCTAGAAATAATCGAGACTTCTAGTCGATTGGAATGATTTGTATGATGTACGACCAACCTATATCGAAGCTTAAATTTGTATTATAATGTTTTACGTTCAATGCGGCTAATACAAATAACGTGAATTTTAAACAACACCGTTCTATCGCGCTAAAGCAAAACACGCTCCAGTCTGTCTCGCCGCATGTACATGTTTCAGCCCATAAGCCTATTTTATTGCTGGCTTTTGGGGCAGAATGTAATCGAGCGACGTTTGTGTAAGCAAGCAACACTCTGGACGGTATCTCATCAGCAGAATCCGGCTTTGTTACGCAAACGTCGGCCGGATGTAGCCCAGGCGTTATTGGCAAAGAGCAGCGAACACTTCCGTTCACGGGGCCGCGTCGAACGCACAGCGAGTGCGCACGGCACGACGGTGACTCTCAACGAGCGGCGAATGCGTTGTGCGGTGTACAGCTTGGGTGGCTGCAGTCTCGGCGACGCGACTTTTGAGAGAGGGAGAGAGAGAGAGACACGTGTTCCCCGCAATAGGATCAGTGCTGCGCCACCTATCGTCTCGTAGCTGGGCGCGCGATGCCGGCGTCTTTCGCCGAAGGCACGACGCGTCAAAGTGTAAAGTGATCAAATGCGCGCGTCCCGAGCTCGCGGCGGCGGCGTGCAACGATATCATGCGGCGGTTGTGCGATCTGGTGGTAGGTGGTAGAATAATCCGCGTGTATTCGTCGCAAAGGCCTCGCCATTTAATCCATTCATTGCTGAATCGTCTCACCCCCCCCCCCCCCCCCGATAGCTACGCGGGGCGGTGATGCGGAATAGGTGTGGTTCGTGCGCTCAGCTAAGTTGAGTTAGATTCCCGTCTGCGGATAACTTCATTGGCGATTATCCAGCGTAGTGAAGTATGGTCACCCCCGGTGCATAACCACAGTGTGCAGAGGCCGTAATTTAGCAGTGAATGATGGATGTACATTTATATATTAATCGCACGAGGTAAATTCCAGAAGTGTCTGGCCTGGAGAAACCGACTTGCTGTACTGCCTTATGCTGGTTGCCCTACAGGCGGGTGTCTCACGCAACTTCATAGGTTCATCTCTGCGTGACCCACCAACCCTGTTGCTATGTCCCCTGGCGTACGCGTGTGCATTCACCATTACCAGAGCTTTGTTTTTTCCACCGAATATTGCCCGGGTCGCCGGTACGGTGGAGGAGAGTGACGAGCAGCAGTCACAGGCCATCGAGCGAGGTATCCTTGGGATGTGGCGTGGCCCGATGTGAAACCGATTTTTCGGGGCGCTGACCCAGACAGATCCGGCCTAAATGAAACTCTGGCTGCTACGTTACCAGACGATGGACTGCTCAGCAGTGGTCTGGACAGGCGAGTTCCGAAAGGTGTTCGAGGAGAAGACACGCGCCCGAATGCAGTCAAAACACCGACGACCAAATCGTGCGCCCCGATCCCACCTCTGAAGCTAAGCAGGTCGTGTAGCCTGGTTCGTACCCGGATGGATAATCACAACAGGGCCCTTGCCGAGATGGTGCTTCCGTTTGGGGGGGAGGAGCTGGGATGTGTGCCCAGGAGACTGGTCAGGGGATGTGTTCCCCCCTCGTATGCGGTGACGGGTATTTCTCAATGTTCTCCGGTTTCCTACTTACACGTGAAGCCCCAATCATTCGACTGGAATTCACGGTCAGACATCGCAAATTGTCGCGAGACTCGGCGAGGCTTTGCCGGGTAAACAATTTGCATTCTCAGTGTGTGTTCATCGTGTCTGTCCTTAAGCGCAACTTCGCAGGCGTGCGTCGCCCAAGTCGTATCACACGTGCGCGTGGTGATGCCGTGGTGCAGTGGTTAGCGCCGCTACGCTCCGGATTCGGCGACCCGAGTTCGAATCCCAAACATCGACGATTACCCGGCCACCCCCCTAGGTAGACTCGGCCCTGAATGAGTAACTGGTGCGGTGTTGTAAATCAGCACTTTGGAGACAAAGGCGGCCGGGCGTGGCGCCGCTCGCTAACAGCACTTGCCCCAACAGTCTGTCAAGGCTACACGGAGGACCTTTGTGTGTGATACATACGTGTGTGTGTGACAGGGTGACTGCGCTACCAACTCGGCGAGCCGTGTTCGCTTGGCCCCGAACAAACACAAACAATCCTCCCGTGTCCATGGCAAGGGCTGCTTGCAAGTGCCTATTAAGGCAGTTCCGGCGCACCACGAGGGTAGGGCAATGTGCCTGCCCGCCTTTGTCTC